ACCCAGGCTGGAGTGCAATGGCGCGATCTCGGCTCACCGCAACCTCCACCTCCTGGGTTCAGGCAATTCTCCTGCCTCAGCCTCCTGAGTAGCTGGGACTACAGGCATGCACCACCATGCCCAGCTAATTTTTTGTATTTTTAGTAGAGACGGGGTTTCGCCATGTTGACCAGGATGGTCTCGATCTCTTGACCTCGTGATCCACCCGCCTCGGCCTCCCAAAGTGCTGGGATTACAGGCTTGAGCCACCGCGCCCAGCCCAAAGCTACTTTTCTTAGATTCAACTAGAATTTAAGGGCCTTAGAATGGGCCAGACCCCAAGCTGAGGTTCTTATTTTAGTAAATAAGGTATAGTTATTCCCATTTCACAGAAGGGGAAGCTGAAGAATGAGGTGTAGTAACTTCAAGGTCATACTGAAGTAGTTAGTTTTGAATTTTCCTTTAAATTGTACTCCCAGGTAATTGTTCTAAAAATTCTATAGATACCATAACTAGTTTAATTTTCCAATAATTTTTTTGATGGAAACACCTACAACTGTGACTACAGAACATGAAATACTTGAAATAAGATGCTGTTTTTGGCATAAAAATACTTTAAATCATTGGATGAAAGATATTTGGGGAGCCAAGATCTCCAATCCTCACCATACCTCCCCAAGTACGAATTCTCTTTTGTTTTTTAAAGATGTGGAAGTTTAAAAAACATAATTACTGTCGTGAGTCAGTGTATGAGAAGAAAATGTCTAAGTCCTGACTCTCACTTCCTGCTTTGATGACACTTTACCTCACTTCCTGAAGATGTTGTAAAGCCTGTAAGGTAACAACAAGGAGCTCTAAGCTCATACTCTCAGTGCTTTCCAATACTTCTGAGATTCTACTTATTAGGCCAACATCAATCTCCACCACTTTCCCTGCAGTTCTGATAAATTATTACAATTTTATTGATCTCAAAAGCTTTCAAATTCTGTTTTCAAGACTCTTTTCTGACCTTTTATCTTCCTAAGATAAACATCTGGTAAATGTCTAAAAGCAATCTATTTTTCAAAAAAAAAAAAAAAAAAAAAAGTAAATTTTTTTTTTTTTGTAAACTATTTTTTAAAGCCACCAGTCTGCCAACTGACTCTTCTGGATGAAGGTACTGCAGATGTCTTTCTGCCAAACATTTTCTGTGTATCCTTTTGGATTTTGTACAACCTCCACCTTACAACAGAAGACAAAAGAAATCATTCTGGAGAATGAGCCTTCTAGATACTGTAAATTTTCCCGCTTTCTCCAAGTACAAATTTGACATATCACAGAAAATACTAAATCCTTTACCTATAATTTCATGTCCACATTGTCTAGGTAACATAAATAAAATACTGGCCAGGATTTCAAGTCATTAAAAACGGAGGTGGGATGGGAAACAAATGAGTGGCGAAAATAACTTATAAAAAAGAAAAAATATGGACTATATCAATCTCCTAAAAAGACTCATTGACTCAATAGAATTAAAAATCTATGTTGGGCGTGGTGGCTCACGCCTGTAATTAAAGCACTGTGGAAGGCCGAGGCCACCGATCATTTAAGGTCAGAAGTTGGAGACCAGCCTGGCCAACATGGTAAAACCTAGTTTCTACTACAAATACAAAACTTAGTCCGGTGTGGTGGCGTAGGCCTGTAGTCCCAGCTACCTGGGAGGCTGAGGCTGCAGCGGCCCGACATAGCGCCACTGAACTCCAGCCTGGGAGACACAGCGAGACGTTGTCTCAAAAAAAAAAAAAGAATTAAAAATCTACTTAACCTGTAAACCGGGGTGGAGGCGTGGATTTCCCGTCTGAAACCGACTGCCTTTCACTGCAAAGGTGTGTTACAACCTAGCGCTGCCCACCATCCAAAGTTAACACCAAAGGAGTGGCCCGCATAAAAAGCGGGGAATTCCAGGGTTTGCCAAGATCCCTGGAGCTGACCAATCCCGATTGTGCAGACTGTTATGTCCCCCGACTTTTTTGCACACCTACCCTCTGGTCAACCGAATAATATCCCCTGGCTGGATAAGACCTCCGATCTCATCCCACACGGAAATAGTGATGCTGCCCGTTTTATCTGCTACTTTGCACGATCTCACTTCATGGCCGTCTTTGGTTTTGGTCACGCGTCCTGTGAGGATTTAAAAATCAAAGGGAGCGGGTGTTAGATAATGAGGACATCCAGAAAGGCTAAGTCCTTTTCCGGTGTTTTAATACATCTGGAGGGTTCGCAGCGACCAGGGCTCTCGCCTCAGGTAGGATCCAATCTCGGGAAGAGGCCACTGGAGCCACGTGGGAGGGGGAGGAGAGAGGGGGAGGGGAGCCCTCGGCACGCAGCGGCGGCGCCAGTCTCCCGCCCCGGGACGCACAGCGGGCGGTGGAGTGGGCTGCAAACCCCACTTACCTATCTCCAGTACAATAAAGACGACATTTAAGTTTTTCAGTCCGGGCTTAATATCTCTTATAAAAACAGGTAGGTCGTTGACCCTATTCATATTGGGGGCAGGTGCGGCTACGGCTGCGGAGACGCGAGTGGGCAGGGCGGGGTCAAAGCCTCCCACCCTCCCGGGCCAGGGGCGAGGGCAGAGGGGCGACCTTGGGCAGGGGTGGCGAGAGAAGAGGCAGAAAGCGGTTAGTCAGGGACCGGGGAAACCAGCCCGGACGGCACTGAGCCTAAAAAAAGAAAAAAAAAAAAAGCGCTCACAAGTTCAAAAGAAAAAAAGGCGAACCACTCCGCACACCAACCCCGCTCCCAACCGGGCGACAGGAAGGCAAGCGTGCGAACTGCCCCGTTCTTTGGATAAAAGGAAGAAAAAAAACGCAGTGAGGGGACACTTCTGCCCTGAGTCCCGCTCACTCACACGGGTGCGCGCCCAGCCCGTCCCGGGCTCCGGGAAGGAACTGGCTGTGACTGCGAAACGGGAGCGGAGACAGAACTCCGCACGCCCTGCGTCCCAAACAGCGACTGACGAACGCGCCCGCGCGCCGTCTAGACCCCCGGCCCGGCCCGCCCCTTGTGATGTCACGCTGCGTCGGCACACCAGCCGCCACGCCCGCCTGCTGCGGGGGAAGGGCAGCGAAGGGGCGGGAACCTGCCGCAGCAGCCCGGGGAGCTTCCCTGCTTCTCCGCGGGCTGTCGGCGCGGGCGTCCGCCCCCCGCGTCGCTCTCGGCCCCGCCTCTCCCCCCGCCCGCTCTCCGCCCGCTCCCACCGCCGCCGCGCGTCGTCAGTTCTGTCCTGCCTCGCCTTCGTGCTGCGGTCTTCTGCCTCTCAGTATCCAACTTGAGAGTTTTCTTGCCTTTTTTTGCTCTGAGTTGAGCCCCTACCGGGTCCTTTAGTCCCGCGGCCACGGGGAACGGTGGAGTTTAGAACCTGTGAGTACGTTAGCGCGCAGATGAGTAAGAATCGGGTTCGGGCAAGGGCGGCTGGTCCGGAACCCAGGGAAAACAGGCCGGGATGGTGAAGGGGTCAGTGGCTACGAGGCTGGAAGTTTAGCACCAGAAAGGAATTTGGAGATCAATTCAACCGCCTCATTTCAGGCATACTTGAGTTGAAATCCAGAAAGATGAGGTAAGTTACAGAAAGTCATCCAGCAACCCGTAAGCAGCCAGGACTGCAACACAAATGTTGGACCTGGCCTTGCACTGTGTAATGCTAAGCAGATAGACACGTAAATTCCTTTGCAGGCTTCTCATTTTTCCTTACCCACTCCCTCAGATCACACACCTTCCCCATTTTGCTTCCCTCTTTTATGTTGCACTTGTTTTTGTACATCTACAAGGAATTGTTCAACAGCAGTGGAAACGCTTGAAACATTATAATCTGAAAAATCAATAAAGTTTTCTTTATGTCGTGTGGTGAAAAGAGCATGTGCTTTAGAGACAAACCTAGGCTCCGGCTATTTACTTGTGAGACATTTAGGACAATTGGCTTTTCTTACGATTTTTTAGACATAATAAAATGGGGATCCCTGCCTCGCAGAGGATTGATTAAATGGATCATAAATTGTCCAACTCGTGCCTAGCAAATAGTAGACACTCAGTATTTTTCCCTTTTTAATTCGCGTTTTACAGGTAATGAAACTCACCAGAGCATACATAGCTAGAGAATGGCCGAACTGGGTTTTAAGTCTAGTCAATCTTGACCCCAGAGCTCTCCAGCCTAAAGGTAATGTTTGGACTTAACTTGCAGTCGTGTAATTATGAGTCCAAAACAGACTGAAGAAATAAAATAGTAACATTAGGATAAAGTAGGGCATTAAAGAATCATCTAGTTAACTCTTGGCGGAGGTAACAGAAATGTTGGGAAAAGTGTCAGAAGCCTTAATTTTTTCCCCATTCTTGATGAGTAGTTTTAGATCAACCACCAGCTCCCCAATATTTGCAAATAAACAGCATAGATACTATAGCCCTAGAAAGAGTCACAAAAATTATCCCATTAGCAAGAGAGTCAAGGCATTTCTAAGGAAACAGAAGCTTCCATTTCATGAACTAATAAAGCCCAAGGTGCCAGAAACACTGATGTCATACTGGAAAGTGGTGTAAAATAAAATTATAAGCATGATTTCAACATCAAATAAAACAAATGATGAGACATGCCAGTTAATGGCAGTGCCAGCATCCAACCTCAATCCCAATCCAGATCAGAAACTGATTCTACCATGGTTATTGGGCAGGACGTAACACATCAACTGGATTGTACACAAAGCTGTATTTTCTTTTTTCTCTTTTCTTTCTTTCTTTTCTTTTGTCAGGATGGTCTCTTGATCTCCTTACCCTGTGATTTCTTTTTTCTTTTTTCTTTTTTGTCTTTTTGAGACGGGGCCTTGCTCTGTCGCTCGGGCTGGAGTGCAGTGGCGCGATCTCGACCCACTGCAACCTCTGCCTCCCGTGTTCAAGTGATTCTCCTACCTCGCGAGTGGCTGGGACTACAGGCACATGCCAACATGTAAAGCTAATTTTTTGTATTTTTAGTAGAGACGGGGTTTCACCGCGTTGGACAGGATGGTCTCTTGATCTCCTGACCCTGTGATCCACGTATCTCAGCCTCCCAAAGTGCTGCGATTACAGGCATGAGCCACTGTGACCGGCCTCAAAGCTGTATTTTCTTACACAGGCAAAATACTCTCACAGAAGCAATATTTAAAGCAGAGTTCTTTTTTTCTTTTTCTTTTTTTTAAAGGTTTGACAAGATCTTCAAAAGATTTTTTATTTTATTTTTTATTTTATTGCATTTTAGGTTTTGGGGTAGAAACCAATTAAGAGTCACGGCCCATAGTTTGGGCAAAGAAAGTTTGCCACTCAGCAATCATTTGCCCCCAGAGAAGGGATTAGGTAGAGCTGTTTACACTAATTATATGGACATTTTATAAAAAGGAATCAGACACAGAAAACTAAACCTCACAAAAGCAGAAGCTGGTTCTCGGAGCTGTGGCTCAGCCCTTCCCTTCCCCCACAGGCCAGAACTCAGCTGAACATCTACTTCCTTCCCTACTAACTCAGCAGTTCTCAGAAAGGAAATGGCAACCATATGGTTTCCCATTAACCAAAACGAAAGACAGCCTTGAGAAACATCCTTCAGCCCAGGCTAGTTGGTTTCAACTACCTCTAAATCACTCCCAAAGGTGTGGTTAATAAAAAGAAAAAGAAGGTGTCAAGAAGAACAATTATTTCTATGCAGATATCTTTCCTTATATTACCATTCAGTGAAATAGATCTGCCATTCAGTCTATCCATTTAGGTTATAATGATTATATTGCTGATTCTTTAATATATGCACAAGATTACTTCATGGTCTTCTTTTCTCTAAGGCTGTTGTTCTTCAAGCCTTCATTTTTTACGGCCTAAACCTAAGCTTACTCTGAGATGATGGATTCTTCTACTTTATGTCCAGAACCTCAAAACCACGATTTTGTGTGAAGATACTTGGTGAGATCCACTGTAATACAGAAGGGTGTCCATTAGAATCCTGCATATAGAAGGTTCTGTTATCTTGCTCCTCATTGATAAAGATTTTGTTGTAAATTTTACGCAGCACTCAGTACTCATGCTCACTCCCAGGTTTTGGTTTCTGGAATTACCAAAATTATTTCACTTTGTTTGCAGTATCTATCTATTTAAAACTATTAAACATCAATGAAACAGTTGTTTGTACCAAGCACTGTTTGATTATAAATAGCTTGTATAGTGAAACAATTTTAAAAATTAACAAGAACCACACTGTGCTCACCTGACAGTTACAATCCACTTTGTAACATAATTGGCAACTAAAAAAAAAAAAAAAAAAAAAGAAAAACCCAAACAATTGGTCTTTTCTTAATCTTCCGAAAACAATTTAACCAAAAGACTCAGAAGTAACGTTTAGTAATGATTGCAACAATAGCCACACAAATCATGCCTATAGTGATAAATGCTAATACACTGAACATTTGCTATGGGCCAGGCATTTTACACTTATAAGCTCTTTACACTTTTTTGGGTTTTTTTGTTTGTTTTGGACACAAGGTCTCACTCTGGCACCCACTGGGGCTCCACCTGTAGCTCACTGTAACCTGGAACTACTCTGCTTGTAATCCTCCAACTTCCGCCTCCAGAGTAGCTGGGACTACAGCTGTGCACCACCATATTTGGCTAATTGTTTTATTTTTTGTAGAGATGGAATCACACTGTGTTACCCAGGATGGTCTCAAACTCCTGGTCTCAAGCAATCCTCCCATCTCAGTCTCCCAAAATTCTGGGATTACAGGCATGAACCACAAGGCATGGCCTGATTTACACTTTTTGATGTGTTACTTAATATATGTGAAGTGATTGATCTCATTTTATAAGAAGTTATGGAGCTTGGATTTCAAAATAACTGCCTGTTTCATGTAATAACTTTTTCTACAAAACAGGTTATTTGCCCTAAAAAGTACGTGTCTTTCTTTATCGAAATGGGTAACTGGATTTTTCAAAGGCTTTGTAATTCACAGTGATAAGTGCAGTAACGTGTTAGCTGATACCCCAGATCTGATGGTGTGGGAATAATGAAATCTACTCATGAGGAATAACTCTGTAGTTTCCCTTGGGAAGAAATGCATCCCTAAATGGATTAATTCAATTCAGTTACATTATAATTTTTTTTTTTTTAAGACAAGGTCTTGCTGTCACTTAGGCTGGAGTGCAGAGGTACAGTCACAATTCACTGCAGCCTCGATTTCCCAGGCTGAAATTGTTTTCAGGAAGAGAGAAAACTGGAATCACATATGGAGGTTAATAAGAAATTATGTATGTTCATGGAGTGCCTCACATGTTTGTAAACAGAGGTGAAAAGATCATGACCCAATTTTAGAGTTACTTATTCAGGCAACTCTATTATACTGAGTTACTTCAGCATTATAATTTTAAATTCTAAATTTAAAAATTCTAAAAAAAATTATTATTATTATTTTTTTTTTGAGACAGAGTTTCGCTCTTGTTACCCAGGCTGGAGTGCAATGGTGCAATCTTGGCTCACCGCAACCTCCATCTCCTGGGTTCAGGCAATTCTCCTGCCTCAGCCTCCTGAGTAGCTGGCACTACAAGCACGCGCCACCATGCCCAGCTAATTTTTTGTAGTTTTAGTAGAGACGGGGTTTCACCATGTTGACCAGGATGGTCTCGATCTCTTGACCTCGTGATCCACCCGCCTCGGCCTCCCAAAGTGCTGGGATTACAGGCGTGAGCCACCGCGCCCAGCCAAAAATTATTATTTTTTTAATTCTCCTGATGCTTACTTCATTTTTCTTGTTGATTTTTTTTGAAAACAGACTTAAACTTCTTTGACATTCTACATTCATTCATTCACATAATTACTATCTATTGCCCTCACAATGTCTGGACAATACTGTGAAGGTTAAGACACAAGCAACTTCTGTTTTTCATACAATCTTCCTTGAAAAATTCTGCTTTTCTTCTTCACTAGCTGGTTTGGGTTCACAAGATATGTAGGGTTTCACTTTGGTGATGTCCAGATGGGTCCAA